CTGCTCTTGGGTTCTTTTAAATTTTAATAGCATGGATTAAAGGCAAACCTTAAAGGACACAGGAAAGCAAGCTTTCTGCTTTACAGCTTAAGGCAGGGGCATTACATAATTGTAAATAATGCATTCTCTTTTCAGATCCTGAAACCAGTGTAAAACAGCCATTTCAGACAAGAAAATAAATGATGACATGCTCCCAGGAAAATTGAATTTGGTATTGGTTATGGGGATAAAAGCCACCCTACACTTAACGAGGCTTCCAGATTTGTTAAAAGTTTCTAGAGCTTTTAAGTTTAAAGGCTGCCTAAGGGCTTTAATGAAGCTCCTGTTCAAGAACAGGAAGGGTTGCAAGGTTTGGATTTGACTTTGATCAAGACTGAAGGGATTCACGGACACAGCTTCATACTGCCCCCTGGTGGCGTCATGCTCAACTATGCTCAGAAACTTCTTACATTAACCTTAGGGTCAAAAGCAACCAGATCTTGGTTTCCACAGCAACACCTTCAAGAAAGGCTACTGATTGAGTTATAAAAAAGTATCCTCCTCAACTTTTGGACATAGCCTCTGTCCCATTTCTACAAAGCTTGACCTAGGTTGTAGGAAAGAAGGCCAATAGCTGAAGAGGGGGATGTTAGGATTGCATCTGGAGACCCCAGCAACTTTGATGGGCCCGTGTGCATATGACATGGTGTTGGGCAGAGGGGCTGTCCTAGGACCTAAAACCAGCACAAAGGAGGCTTCCTGTGCATCAGACACCACTGAGCCTCAGCTCCCCAACCCTAACCCCACAAACTACTGCATATCCATACTCCAAACCAGGTATAAATAACATGGCAACTAAAAGATCATTGATGTCATGTCTAGCTCATTCAATAGTCATGAGCTTGTGATCTAGAAACTGAGAAAGGCTTTTCAAGGGGAGGGTTTTACTAGACCAGGCCAAGTCAGGAACATAGCACAGTCACAACCAAGTTAGACCAACGGTGACTCTTATGTCACTCACATTCTCCCCTTTCCCTCTAAGGGTCCCCAAATCTACTCATGAGCTGGAGCAGTTCTTAAGACTTGGCATGGGCCCCAGTCTATCGAATGGGGAGAAGCAAGATGGCATACAGCCTCAGGATGGGTTCTTTGTTCTCCCGGATGTTTGGGAGCCTGAGCTGAGCCTTAGGTAGACTCAGAAGATCTGTCCCCGACAAGCATCTCTTAGAAAAGGTGGGATATAGACAGCTACCTCTTGAACTCTGGGAAATCTGAAATAGCTGGACAGCTTCCTGGACACCAGAGCATCCCTGCAACTTCTGAAGGTTTCGACTGCCTCTAATCAGCACTGGGGGCCTGGGCAAATATCCCCCGAAGATTCCCCAGACTTGCAATGTAGTCAACATACATGGGTGGGTATAAAAAGCAAGCTCTCAGAGTGTTTATGTCCATGGGGAGAAGTGACTGCAAGTGGCTCTTAAAGTGCATACAAGCAAAGAAGAGTGGAGTGAAGCTGGCGGTGATATCGTCTACTCCATGTCATGCAGTGTGGATTCTGTTGACCTGGCTGGTTAAGTGGGTTTGGCTTTCCTTCCTCCTCCTCCTCCCCCTACACCCCGTATGTGTCCCTTGTAGGGCTGCAAGCTCAGTGCAGAAGGATGAATGGTGTGATCCTGCCACAACCCAACAAGCTCGCCTGGTCCCCTTGTAGGAGCCAACAGGGAGGCCCAGTTTGACATGACAGGGCAACGACGGGGCCCCATGTCAACTCAGGCTTTTTCTCTCATTTCCTGGCAGCAAAGGCTCCTTCCAGAACACTGGCTGGGACGTGCTTCTTCTTATCCCAGGAGGGCTTCTAAAAAATAAATAAAGATGGCACTTGATTGCTTTGACCTTCATTATCTGCCAACTAACCATATCTCATGGGGAACACCTCTTATTTTGACGGGTCCTCAACCTCAAATCAGGGGATGAGCAGATGCAAGTGATTTCCTTTGGCTGCTTTGCTGTCACCAGCCTCCATCACTCCTGTTTCTCTCGGGTCTCATTCTTGACCTTCAAGAGCGCCGACGGGGTAGGCAGGGTATTGCATCAGCTACACGGAACATTGATGTATTGACTGGAAGACCCAACCTCACCATTTCTATTCCTTGGGTGCTCTTTGAGATCCATTATACTTTTAGTTTCTTCACTTAGTAAGCTTTTGCTCTTTGAATGTCCTTCTGAATGTATATTTGCCAAAGTAATTTCCACGATGAAACAGCAATAAGCAGAAGACTTATAAATCCACATGGGGAACAAAAACCAAAGCCCTGGAGTTATTTCAGTCTTGTGGTTTGGAGAGTATTCTTTTATATTGTTGCAGAGTCAGGAAAGTAATTTTACCAGAGGAGAGCTCATAAAATAATGGTTTTTTTTTTTGTAATCAGGCAACTTGGCTTCATGTCATTATTTTAACGGATTGCCAGGCAATTTTTCTTCTCTACTTTCCATCATGAAAAGTTTACTGAATCATAAACTAAAATGAGCAGGATTGTTCTATTTAATGAGATAAATATCAAGTGCTCAAGCTTAGTATTTAAGTTTCCCCAAAACATATCTAACCAACTACTCTCTACCATGAATCCTCCACATTCAACAGAATATTTTCTTATCTGATCCAGGATAGGTGTTGTTGATCATCAAGCTAAAGTGGGTATGCATGTTACTCCCTCCCGGAATGCACTCCCCACCTCCTTCATATATCTATATCGTATGGCATTGGTAGGACATATGATATATCATATATATGAAATATAGATTCCAGATATATGAATATATCATATACCTATGACATACATATTCATATGTTACATGTATGCTGTGTGTTCATATATTTATTACAGAACCTCTCCACATTTTATGAACTGTTCAATTCAAATCCAGGACAGTGTATAGAGGTGTCACCTCCTTTCTGCACTATGGCACTGACTGCATCATACTTGCCAGTACATGATTCATGATCTCACTTCTTCATACAACCATTTATATCCTAATTAGAGAACAAGCTCCTTTAGGACCTTGGCTTGTATTTTTACGTTCCCACTAAGCACCGAACCCAGGGCCGTGCACATCTTGGGTGCTTAGTCGATAGATGATGAAGCCCAAGAATCAAGAACACAGAAGCCACTGTTCGCAGGATTGCAGGAAGACGGTTGCTCAGCACAAAACCGAGCAATGATGTGTGTGCCGTGCTGACCGTCATCTGGGCAGCTGCAGGGGTGCAGAGCCTGGCCTGGCCTTTCCTGCAGAGACGGAGGCTGCGTTTGCAAAGCATTTTAGTAGCAATTAGGAAAACACCCGTTTAGTCTGAGGACCCAATCAACATGGACTGCAAAACATGACGATTCTGGTTCTAAACCGAATTTAAACAGAGAGAAAGGGCCCCATTTCACACTTGGCTTTTCACATGAAGACAAAGTCACTTGTAACTCTTGGTCTTCCAGGAGCAGTTTCTCAGTTTGTCAGTTCATCTCGCTTGCCTACAATCCCCTCACTTATAAAAGGAGGGATTTGGAAAGTTACATTGTTCACCAAGGTTCTTTCTACCTCTAGAATCTTCTGAGGAGTCTGCCCATTATAATCCACTTCCTTCCTCTATAGTCCTGTCCTTCCTCTCTGGCTCTCACTCCATTCACCGATTTATGACCCATTAACATTCACTGCTACCAGGTAAAGAAGGCAATTTCTTTGTTAATGAAGACCTCTTATAAAAATGTCATAGAGCTTCAATTTAAAAAAATAATTCAAACACAATTCCTTAAGTTTTCATTTGACCATGGCTCTGTTGTTCTTCCTATACCAATTTAGTTTTTACAAAGCTAGTGCTTAAACAGATATGCCTCCTTGGAAAAAAATTTTTTAAAAAGTACATGCCTTTCTCAAATGTATTTTAAGAAAGGTAGCCTCTTTTTTGTTTTCCAGCACTCAAAGATATGACTAATTATTAGAAGAGGGAAGGGGAACCCACAGAAACTGAGTTAGGAGAAGGATGTGGACTCTTTCGATTAAATAGAAACAAAAAGTCCATCTCATTTAAAAAAGATTATTAATATTAATAATTTAAGATGAAGGATGTTATATTATTTACTGAAAATTGTATGATTTACTGGAAAGAGATAAAAATGATTTTTAAAGCTTTAATGAAAAGAAGTAGAAAAGGGAAAGATTGGAGCAGAATTGACAAGTAAAAAGATGAAAATCCAATCCATTAACTTGTGTGGGGCTTTTTGTGGCGCTTCCTTCATTGAAAAATATGTACCATCATTCACCTTTGAGGTTAGGAGACAATACATTTAATCAAATAATCCTATTCCCCTCTCTGTATTGCTTAAAACCACCGAATTAATCTCAATGAAGATAATTTTGCAACACGTCCAATTCCTTAGCATTTCCAGACTTCATTGTCCATGACATCAAAAAAAAGGGTGACATGGTGTCAACTCGCTTTCATGGTTTGTGCCCTCCGTCATCCAAGTTGGACACGTGAGGGAATTATTATCTAGGCATCTACTTTGTGCTAGTACCAGCCAAAGAGCTCACCGCTCATTTTGGAGTTTAACCCCTGCTATAGTCTTGGCAGTCAGGTAAGCTCATGCCTTTCCTGCTGTCCAGGAAACTGAGGCTCAAGAATGCTAAGCAATCTGCATTTACTTGTGTGCACAGTGGAATTACATTTCCTTGAACCTTAACTCTGTTTTCTCAGGTCTGTAGGAATAAAATGATGTAAATTACTTGTTAAGCAACTTACAGTTATTTGAAGGCGGCTCTGACACCAATTCTTCCTAGTACAGCATACAGTCTTCCTGAATAAGAGTCCCTAATTAAAAGTGACAGGGCACAGGAGAAGCTGCCCTAAAACATGGCACCTTGGCATACTGAATATTTTAAGGCTGAAGGAAATCGAGAAAACTGCAGAAGCAAAAAGATCTCTCTGACCTTCTCTCTTAAAGACTCTCATGTGACAGGTGTCCCACCCTGTATTCAGAGGGGAGGAACATTATGCAGGGGGGCCAGGAAGAATGTGAACAAACAGGCTTTGCTAAGTGTCCCCAGTTTATTACCATTACATCATACTCGGTCTGCTTCATCACACTTCTCTGCAACTACCTACTTCATGAAACACAGCACAAAAATATACAGGTTTTACTATTTCTTTGGGTCATCCTTTAATTATGAAAGCTTTGTCACATAAAACACATATTAAATAAATTTGTATGCTTTTCTTTTCTTAATCTGTCTTCTGTTAGAGGGGGCTTGGCCATGAGCCTAGGATGAATGAGGAAAAGATATTTCTCTTCTCGCACAACAGTGAATGTTGCTTATTTCTGCAAAGCTAAGGAATAATATATTTAGTTGTTGCAATCTAAAGTTTTTTCTCCAATCACTGGAAGTTGAGTTTCATATAACTTAGATTGTGTTCATTTTTCCAGAAGAGCTAACGAAATAGAAAAATGTTCAGAAATTAAAATAAAAATTAATGGAAATTTTCCCTTTAATTAATCACATCAGCAAATCAGCACTTTACATCAAAGTATTACGTAATGAGATTCTAAATCATGTTCCCAAGAATTTCTGTGTAAAACATTTCCATATGGTAAGAGTCTGTAAAATTTTATAACACATTCACAAATCATTGTGACAAGTAACACTGGTGTTAATTTCTTAAAAGTCAATGTCATTTTCCCAATATAATTTTATGATTTTATTTCCTTGTGCCTTGAAACTTAAAAAAAAAACAAACCACATGCCTTCTTAGAAAACTAAAAACAGATACATAATCATTAACATAAGTAAACAGATTGTATAGTTCTCATGTACTTAAGGTGAATTTTAATACATTTTTAAATCTAAAGTAAAGCCTATATTCTTAGTCTATGTTATGACACTCATATTATTTCTCTTATGGTACTTAACACAGTTTGTGTGCATTTTGCATATTTATTTGCTCGTTTAATCTTTCTTTGACTCCCAAACTACAAACAAAGCCAGCTGATTCAGGAAAACAAAGACTTTCCAATTATTTCAAGCAGAAAGGCATATAAAATTACAGAATTTGATGATTATAAAAATGTTAAAAGGGTGGGAGGAGAACAAATGTAAGTTTTCCACCAGCTTTAAGAAGGTCAGGAAATTTCAGGAACCACAGGAAACTATTGGCTATATTCATAGTTTCGTGAATGTCTGAAACCAGTAATTATAGAAATGGCTTGGATTGCCCAAAAAATCTCACATCTGCTAAAGCTCAGACACCTGCCCATGGAATAGTAATCTGGCTTCTGCCTGTCTTCCAAATTTTGTGAGAATGCTTTTTATTGGCAGATTCTAATCTGGAACACTTCTGGCAAAGAATTCTAGAAAATGCAGTTCTCAAACTCCTAGCTTCCATGACAGAGGGTAAGGAGTGAAGGGTTTTGCTGGGTGGGCTATGGATAATTTGTTTAAAGTTCCAAATGGGAAGGACCTGTGCCAATTTTTAAAAAATAAACACTTTAAAATGTTCACAGTTTAAATTTCCACTATGGTAAATATTGATAGACAGAACCCACATAAACAAAATTTCTCATTAGTAGCCTCAAAAGATTTTAAGAGTGTAAAGGACCCTGAGACTAAGATTATCTATGAAGATATTTGTTGAATGAATTAATGAGTAAAAGAACATTATATTCTTATATTGTACATTGTTCACATGTAGGCAACAGTCTGCACGTGTTTTTAAAGGAAAACTTTCTCTCACATTTATTCTCAGTCCTCATAATTTTGTTGCTGAGAGACAGGGATTATTGTATGGGGCCACTGACCACTGGTAAGTGAAATACAGTTAACTCTCTGTATCCACGAGTTCTGCATCTGTAGATTCAACCAATTGTGGATCAAAAATATTTGACAAAATAAAAATAAAAAATAACAGTGCAATGATAAAAAAATACAACTAAAATATAGAGTGTAACAACTATCTACCCAGCATTTACATTGCATTGGGTACTATAAGTTATCTAGAGAAGATTTAAAGTATATGGGAGAATGTGCACAGGACATATGCAAATTCTATACCATTTTATATCAACTTGAGCATCTGTGGATTTGGGTATCCAAAGGGGGTCCTGAAACCAGTCCCCTGCAGATACCAAGGGACAACTGAAGTTTGATTCAGGCCAGCCTAAGGCAAAATTGTGAATTAGATGAAGTTTGTATTCAGTGTCCCCAATTCCTTGTCATAGAGTCAGAGGATACTTAATTATAAGGGGCCTGGGAGACCACTGTCCCTCCTAATGCTCAGGGCACAGTTTTATGAAGCCCTGCTTCATGTATTCCTGAGGGACACTCGGTAGAGTGTCAACAGTATTCACAACCATGAACACTCCTGGAATATCAATTTTACTAGAAGACTTTGGAGCTAGCAATACGTTAAATAATTACATTAAATCAAAGATACATTATGAAATGCTTGATAAATTGCATTATTTGTCTCAGTCCTTCCCTTCTTTCTGCCATGTGACTTGCATACATTTCTGCACCCATTGATCTGGGTTGTAGCCAATGTGATACGCGTTGGACACTAGGGCAGGGGACAGGGGTTACAGTGACCTCTTTCTGATCTGCAGATTTACAAGGCACCCCTCACATCTGATCACCTTTCCCGTGACCCACAGGGAAGAACATGCTCCAGGTGTTCACTGGTCCAAAGAGAATGAGCACACATGCAGAACAGACTTAAACCCAGCGTAAATCCTGGAGGCATACCAGGCAGATCCCAAAACTAGGAAAAATGCATGTTGTTTTAGCCACTGAGATTTGACTTTGCTTATTATGTGTCTAACATTAGCTTACACAGAGATTGGTACCTAGAAGAAGAGTGTTTCTGGAACAGGCATCTACTATGCAGCGCTGACTGTGAGATCAGCTGACAGGCAATAAGGATAAAATTGTGACCTGAGTTATAGGATTGACAGGCCATTTGGTAAGACTGTCTTCTGTGGCAACTCAGCACGCAGGAAGTATGCACAATAACTTGCGGTGTTAGGTGAGAAACTTTGGAGCAAAAGGTTGATAGAATGAGCTGGTTCCTTTGATAAAGCATTACCAGAAGGAGATGAACTCTGAAAAGGCCAGTCTACAAACTAAAGAGAGCCCAGAAATTCTGGGACTTATAGGGTTGACAAATGAAATTGTTTCTTATCAAATCAAAGATGTAGCTATTAAAAAACTGCATCAGGAAAAGACTTAATCCAGGGCAGTGTCATTGAAATATAACCTCAAGACAAACACTAAATCAAGACTTGGGAAGACCTCTGAAAAGATTCAATTGGCCCCAACACCAGGTTTTAACTGGAAAAGCACTTCTACATAGACTGAGGGTATGGTCTCTTAGAAGCCCATGCAGCTCAAAGGACTTCAAAAGAAGTCTCTAGAGACTTCCTTAGTCTATACAGAGCCATGTCCAAAAACAGTGGTGGTTGTGACTTAGGCACATGGAATTGACTGGAATCCAATACATGGAAAACATTCAAAGTTTTGGATAAGTATATTGGTGAAAGTACTGCCATACTTAATTAAGGGAGAATGTGAGTGGGTATAAAAGGACCTAAGGGGAAAAAATGGTATCCAGGCAGGAACGGGCAGAGAAAGCTTCTCAGCCACCAGAAAGGACATAGTCACTAGCACCTTCTTATGATGTGACCCTGAAAGGTGACAGAAAAGGATGTCCTGGAGGGTGGAGCCAAGCGCAATGGATTGGGGGCTGCTCGTCAAGGAATGTTCCCTTACCCATGACCTTGCCCAGTGGGATTTCAGAACCACAGTGGACTCATAATCACCATTCGTCTCCCACTCTTGACCTTTTCAAACAAGTGTTTTTTCCACTGAGCATCAGCCTCTTTCACCATTAGATGTTGGGTACACAGTGGTGTGTTTTGTGGCACTGGGGTGGTTTTAATTTACAAGCCTCCCTATCAAGAGAAGCTGCCTCTGGGCCTGATGCCAATCATGACATTCAGGACTTGGAACCTGATGTTGGGATATTAGATGAAACTTTTGGGAGTCTTAGCATGGAGGTGAACACATTTTGCATGTGAGTGGGGGTGAATGATTGCGGTCAAGAGGAATGGCAATGGTCAATTGGATTACTCGTCTTAATTCTTCACTTTCTCTACTATGAGACTTCTCAATACAGTAGAGCAAGTGGGAAAATGTATCCTGTCCCATTGAATTTGGGGGCTTACCTGTATGACATGTGACATGCTTCAACCAATGGAAGGAAGTTAAAGGTGACAACTGTCTTAAGAGGACTGCCTGTTTCAACTTGCTCCTCTTGCACACCTTTGATCTGCCTGTGAGCAGAACATGCCCCGGGTTGACACTGGTCCAAGGAGACTGCAAAGACTGGTGCAGCGACCTGAACCTCACACACCGCTACAGTCAAAGCCAGGAAACCCCAGCCAAGCCCACACAACCACGGCCATGCCATGGACTCATGAAGACAGAAATAAACACAGAATATCATGAGCCCTGAGATCTCAGAGGTTGCTTGCTCCAAAGAAAAGACCTGTATTGACACAGGTCAATACAGAGTTTTAAATATAAACTTCCCACTATTTATTAAGATAAAACATACAACTTTAAGGGAATCTCATACTTGCTTTGGGTCTCTTGAGATTATACCTTCTCACCTTACGGGCCACTGGTCCCTTCTACTGCTGTTCAGGGAATCATTTAAAAAACATTCTGCCCAGTGAAGAGCACCAGGCCAGAGTCAGGACACCTGGGTACCAATGTAGGTCCCATTACTTATTATCAACTGTGTGATCTTGGGAACATGGCACTGTCTTCCTGGTACCCAGTTTTCTTCTTTGTAAGTTGGAACTTGTTCTCTTATTTCATGGGATTATTGGGAGGAAAGGAAAAGAAATAATGTCTGAGTGAGTTATTCCAGGGATACGGCTCATCACTGCTAGAGGCGGCCCATTCCATTCTCACTCAGCTTGGAGAGGTTGCTACCCTCCCCACCCCCCGTGCAGTGGCGAGCAGGGCATCATGCATGATCATTTGCTTTGCTTTGGTCCCATTAAAATTTTACCTGTCCTAGCCTCTTAAGGTCCTGTCGAACTCAGTAGCTGTTCTAATTTTCCTAAGACAGAAATAGCTGAGAATGTTACTGATATATTTGCATTTTAACTGGGACTTCCATGAGCAAACCCAAGAAATGACTAATGGTGAAAAGTGGAGGCCCGGGCGCAGTTCCCTGCTGGGTTAGGAAACCTATAAAAGTCTTCTGAGAGTACAGATTGTCCACAAATAGGGCTCGTCCTGATGTGTGGAAAGAAAGCTGTGTATTTCCAGGGGGAAAAAGATACCAGATTCAGGCTGAAGAACAGCCTGACTATAAAAAATTAATGTTGGAGTCCTTGCAGAGGGTAAAAAATAGATTTTTTTTTAGCTTATTATTACCTGTTCTGAAAATGACCTTCACCTGCCTGTAGATAGGACAAAGTCTTGCAGTGTCAAAATTAACCTTTAAATTAAAGGTTACCAATAGCCTTTCTATGGGTAAGGACATGGAGATTTACCAATATGCCTACATTGAGCAAGTACCGTAAGATAAAGTCGTGGCTGACCAAATCTAGTGGATGTTTTCTAAAGAGTAAAACTATGTTATCACTCTTAGATAAGTCATTAAAACCTGGATGAAGCTATTTCAGATACTATCTTCTAAAATGAAGATTTAATCTAAAATGCTGTAATTTGAAATGAATACCTACATTAAACAAAATTTCCTTACAGTTTCAAAAAGTACCAAATCTCATCTAGATATTATTGATAAATGTCTTCAATAGCTTAAAAAAATCATAGCTACCAGAGCATGCAAACATCTGTCTTTTTAAAGGCTCCACTGACATGTTAACTAAAATTTCTCTCTACTGTGGTCTGAATACTGGTTTCATTTTTAAACTTTAAGCAACCTTGAACAATTGACCATACAACTAAAGTTACTTGATGAAGATATTGGCTAATATTGAGAAGGCGAATGAACTCTATAGATTTCAGAGTAAAAATAGCAAGTTAATCACAGCCATTTATTTTCTGTCTTTCATAAACTCTTAGAAGTCATTAACCATAAGGACAAAGAGAATCGGAGGAGACAACAAGAGATGAGAAGTTTTTAACCAATATGAGATGGAGGGAAAGGGAAGAAGAATGATAAGAGATTGAGCCGAGAAGAGTCAGGACTCAAGCGAGTGTCTGTCAAGGGACACACCAACAGGGAACAACGAGTGCGTCCTGTGGAACCAATGAAAGTGATGCTTTCGGAAACACCAGGTACCAGGAGGGCGGGGAAGTTGGGAAGAGGGACAAGCAAAAGAGGCCCAGTTGGCTTCCTGGATGCCTCACAAGATGGCCGCCTTCCTCCTTCTCTCCCACCCCGCCCCACACGCCCTCCCTCATGAAACCTGGGGGACACCCCTGGGTGAGAGGAGAGCTCAAGGCACCAGGCACGGAGAGGGACAGCCAAGCAGAGGTGGGCTCCCAGCAGGGCATGGAGGAAACCCCACATGTGGGACGGTGGCCCCCTCCGGCGCCTCCTCAGCTCTGCTTCCGGCATGCCGGCCGCAAGGGAAGTCGGACGCTTCCGGTCTGAGGACACTCAAGACCTCGGAGCACGAGGGTCCTGACGGCGACGGCGCCTGTCCTCTGTTTCACCCCTGGGAACGCCCAGTCGGGTTCTCGGCGCCCTCTGGGAAGGGACAGACGGGGACGGGACAGACGGGGAAGGGACAGACGGGGAAGGGACAGACGGGGACGGGACAGACCGGGAAGGGACAGACCGGGAAGGGACAGACGGGGACGGGACAGACCGGGAAGGGCACCAGCGCTGCCTCGGGGCACAGGCTCCGGCTGCAGGAGCCGGGCGGAAGTGAACACCAGGAAGGAAAGTCACACAGGAAGACGAGAAGCTGCAATGGATGGAGGAAGACTTGAGATCTATACATGGCTGTTATCAGAGAGAAAAGAGGGAATTATTGTGCATCCATGAAATGAACAAGGGATGCTATAAAAAAGAAACAAGCAGTGATGAATAGTTTTTGGAAAATAAAATTAAAATAGCCCATAATCAAGCTGAGTGATAGAGTTACAGAAATCTTCCAGAAAGCAGAGTAAGACGTATGGGAAATAAGAAACAAAATTTAAAAAAAGATAATCAGTCGAAATCGGCAAAGGAATGTCCCAGCTTGAGAGCCTTGCATGTAGAAACAGGAGACTGCCAGGGGAGAGTGGAGAGTCGTCCTGCACCTGGGCTGCCACACTAAAGTGTCCCTTGGAGAGGACAGAGCCTGGGGAGGGCAGGACAATAAGCGACAAGCGCATCTAACCTGCCGAGGACAGGCAAGACGCCTCCCAAGTCCCTCTTGGGAAAACGATAACAACAAAATTAGTTCTTTGTGGTTTTCTGTAGCTATGTTTTATTTTACAGTGAAATGATTTTTAAAAGTACCTTACATCAGAAAAAAGGAAGGGCACACAGAGCACTTTATTACAATATATATTTCCCTTAAGAAAGGTATACAGAGAAAGAGTTTAAGGGGGCATAAAAGTGGGGTTGTTTATGCCCTGAGGAGTCCAGCACTTGTTCTCTACCTTAAATATAAATTCCACTAGAGCAGGAATGAGCACAGCTGGGTTTGAGCATCACATCTCGTACCCACTGGAACTGGCCATGTCACCTCTCTGGGACTCTGTCCTTACCTGCAAAGTGATTTCTAAGGCTCCACTTAAATCCTGAGTCCTCAAGTCTAAGGAATGTTGGGAAGAGTACATTTTTCCCCTTCTTTTTCTATTCTTGGTGGTTCAAAGTGATTTTATATAACAGCAATTTAATCAAGCTCTATTGCCATTCACTTGAGACATGTCTTTGAGGAAAAAACACAGGTGAGTCTCAGCGTCAGTGTTTCTTGCCTGGCATTCCAGGTACGTGGGAACATGAGGCTCTGCCACCACCCATGGCTCGCTTTGCTCCCGAGGTGACAAGCAAGAAGGAATAATTCAAACAGAGCACGTTAAGACCACGCTTCCTAGCATACCCCAGTTAGGCCACCAGAGAGAAAATGGCAGGTAGAAAACAATGGTTAGCCCAGTGGCCTCATAAGAGGACTTTGAAACCTTGGAAAAACTTAACATGATTCATTGAAGTACAGGGAAAACACAACTTCTACTTATATTAATAGTTATCCCATCTTTTAGTTTGCACTTTCCATGTATATTTTAAAAATGCAAATTATATACTAGTATATATTTGTAGAATAGCACGTGTACTTTTTAATACATATATAGGGTGTTTATATATAGCTTATATGTTAATACATAGTATACATATAGTTCATATATTACTGATAATGTCTGGAGTCCATTAATTCCACAACCAGTCCATTAATTCTCCACAATGTGGTGCTTCAAAAGCAAACTCAGAAATTGAAAGCAGGGGCCAGGCGCATATAAAATATTCACTGCACTTGAGGAATTCCACTCTAATTTAGGCTAATTTATCAGAATAACTTCAAACCAGTGTCAGAAAAAAAACTCCCACACATTTCCCTTGTCTCCTGTTCACAGAAATAATTCTGTGTCTGATCAGGAGAAAGAGGGGGAAAAAAATAGCAATAAACATGAGAAACTTTAGTAGGTTCTGCTTCCTGGAGAGAGGTCAAGTTGAAGTTTCATGAGGGCTGGGTTGCAGCCTCAGCCCTTCCAGAATAAACACACAACTTGGAGAGTTTGTGGACTCTCAAGGAAGCCCCTGAGTTACTCAGCTTGGCTCTCAGACCAAGGAAGTTTCCATTCCTCATCTGAAATCACCGCAATGATGATCACTGCCATTTTATGAGCAGCATGTGTCATTGGGTCCCTTATCAGTGCTGGAGCAAACAGTCCTGTTTAAGGAAAATGTTTTAAAAATGGAGAGTTGGAGAGAAACTCAGTAGGAGCACCGTGATAATGGAATTCTATCTGACAGTAACCAGGAGCCACAAATTTTTCTGCAGGATAAGGAACAGAAGACGTTATTCTTAAGGAGTAGCTTGCGTACATCCAATGGCCCAGACGAGATCCCTCTGGTGGCAAATGCTCCTGCAGCTCTCTTTTCAAATTAGAGGGCTGCTGAACGAGCACTTGGAGCTGCTCCTCCTGGCCTATTTGGTCTCTTCCAAATTGCCTGGCATCTGCATTAATTTAAAAGGCAACATCTTTGGGAGCAGCTATTAATATAGAAAATAACATCGACTTTAATTGTGGCCTCAGAGAGTGAGGCAATGAAATATTTTACAGGTGTTCATTAATTTTTCATTCTATACAACACCGGTGAGGGCTTTAAAACATATAAAAAGGGAGTAGATTTTCTTTTCCAACTGTTTGATTTTTTTGGAAAGCTGGGTTATTCTGGTCAGTATCTATTAGTCCTAACTCTTTGCTCTTCCTGACTTACTGTTTCCTTTCTTCCTTCTAATACTCAGGCATGAGAAAGTGCAACAGAAAGAACAACAGATACAATCAATAAGTGAAGACTTCCCTCTTATCTAACTCTGCCACTTATTTATCTGTGTAACCTCAGGCAAGTCACCTAACCTCTCTGAACCTCAGTTTCTTCATCTGTAACGTGAAAGTAATGATATTTGCCCTTCTTCCCTAAGCAGGAAAATGATAGTGCTTCATAAACTTCAGTGTTATAAATTTACAACATTCTAAAAAACTAAGAACAGAAGACAGAACTTAATTCATTAAGGAAGTTTGACAAAGTTTGAAATGATTTCAAGATGTGCTTTTTTTCTTACAACTAAATCAAAATTCTTTTCCTATCTTGGATCACAAATCATCTTTATGGAAACCAAGAAGGATCTAATTCTAGAGACATTTTCTGAAGGATAGTCATTGTTCCATTTCAGTGTAAAACATACAGGAGAAAGATCTCTGTCAGCAGAAAGGCTCATAGACTCAAAGTCGTAATCATCTTTAACTTTTAGCTATTATTCTGCTGAGAAAGAAAGTGGTGTCACATGAGGTTTTATTAGTCTCTGCAAATGACTTTGCTCCTATACCCCTCAGTGCAAGTTAAATGCTCACAGAGTCCTTATTTAAGCAAAGTAAGGTATATTTCATCTTGAAACATCAAGACTTTTGCCTTGACCTGGTCAATGTGACATAACATTTTCTCCGGGCTTTATAGAAAAATCTCTCCTTTCTCTCTACCTGCTAATCAGCAGATACTGACATTTCAGGATCCAGAATGTCTTCGGAAACCAAAGCCTTTGGGCTCCTTTCCAAATTTCCTCCACATCTTTATTCTTCTAAATTTGTTTAACAATTCCTTCCTCTAGTCTCTACTGTACCTGGGAGAGTACCAGGAACTATAGGTGGTACATATTAAATTTACCCTGAGTATCAAGGAATATCATCTTGTATATAAAATATTATGTGGGCCTGGGCCAGCAGGGAGAATTTTGGCATAGGTGTGTGTGTCATCTGTCTATAAAATAGAAGTTGTGCCCGTGTGTACAAATTATCCTGCTTTAATACGCCTGAGTTGCTATTAACAAGTTAATGGTTGCCGTGCAATTGAGAATAGACCATTTATAATCTTGTAGAGGAAGCATGGGCCAGCTAAGTTGCTGCTCAGTAAATTCCCACAGCTTATCACAGGAAAAGGGGCAGCGGGAATGGCAAAGAGAGATTATCTGGTCCCAGTTTTGTCACAAGCTGCTCGGGTGACTGTGGATATATTGTTTTATCTCCTAAGATGCAATTCCATTCTTCATCAAGAAGTGAGAGGGTGAAATCTGTTGATCCTTGAGGTTCTACAAGGTGTCCCAAAAGTCTCCATACGATGGAAAAACTTTTGTAAAATTTCATAAATAAAGGTACACTTAGCTACAATTTCCTATTTTTCCTATGCACGGCAACTATCGGGACAGCCTTATATAGTTCTGACACTGAGCTGGCAGTCTCTGGGTCAAAAGATAGGCACAAAGTGCTAAAAGGAGTAGCCTCTACATAGACCAGTGAGCTCCTAGAGTCGCAGTGGCTGGCCCTCAGAAGTCGTCTGGAAAATGGGTACATTGGGTCACAAAGGGAGCTGGGCATGGGATTGTATTAATAACAATCACCATGGAACTGTCTCTACTTCTAGATAAATAATTCGCATCACAGGGGTTCACTGTGACATCTTCAAGTAGAAGGAAAGCACAAGGAATAGGCATTCCTCATTCCAGGAGTGCAAATACAACCTGGAGATGTGTCATTTAGTGGTTCAACGTGGTCTTTGCTCTTGTGAGTCTCTGAGTATGATTTGTTGGTGTCTCAAAATCAGCGAAGAACAGTTGACCTTCACGTTCCCTCCCTCCACCAGCACTCGCTAGAGGAAGTCACTTCCACCCCGGTAAGTGACCTGGGTTCCTCTTTTGAGATCCTTTCCACTCCTATGAGGAAGTCAAGAAAACATCACCCTGTGCATTTTAATCAGAACCAAGGAAGTGCTGCTTTTTTTTTTTTTTTTACCTTTGATTTTCAAAGGAACTTTCGGTGTTTCTAATTTAGTTTCAGGGTTAGAAAGTAAAACTTGGAAGAAGCTGCTTCTGGGACTGCAGGTTGAAATCTTAATTTCAGAGACTTGCTTTTTATACGACGTGCCAGCCAGCCAGCCAGCCAAGTATTTCCCTGAAATGAGATCTCACTTCCACTCGCAAAGGGGAACCAGACGAGAGAGCCAGGCTGCGGTAGAATCAGCCGGCAAAGAAAGTTTTAGGGGCCAACTGCGGATAAAAATAGCCTCTGCCTCTGGGGCCAGTGACTTCCATGGTGTTTCTAAATTGAAAATGCACATTTTCCACGAAAGGAGTAGGGGCTCTAGAAAGATATCTTCCCAGCTCATTTCCTCTACGTCTAGCTGCTGTGTGAGTCACTGACCCAGGAAAGACATGCTGTCTGCACTGTGCACTGAGTAATTAAACCAAAACTCTGAGGTTAGCTGCTAAGGAGAAAGAGAGAGCACAGTTACCTACACCCAGGACTCATGAAACGGAGCCACAAGTTTCCTGCATTTCCATTACGGCCAAAGAGCAAATGCCTGTCTATGGGAGGGAAGGATAATCATTAAACTTATGATTATTTTTTTCAAATTATAAAGTAGGAAGAGAGAATTAATTTATACTGAGTTCTTGCTTCATGGCAGACATTGTACTAGGTGTCTCATGTAGTAGTAGTAGCAGTAGTAGCAGAAATGATAATAAACAAATGCTGCATGCATTTTTTAGCATGCATTATAATATGAACCAGGTTCAGTTTTATGTGCTTTCTACATGTTATCTTACTTGTTACAAACTTTTTATATTGATAGATAACCTCATCTGCAGAAGAAAAAGACTGAGATTCAGAGAGGCTAGCTCTTTACCCAACATGACACAACTTGGTAAGAGAAAGAACCAGAACTTGAACCCTGGGAGAAGTACAAAGCCCAGGACTCTAATCTCAGGAGACGACATATTTCACAGTTACTAGCATCTTCATTTGACAGACAAGGAAACTGATGTTTGAAGAACTTTGTAATTTCTTCAAGGTTAGCATTTTAGGAGTTGCTGGGCATAGACTTCAAATCCAGTTTTTCACAATACGTGCTCTACTCCTCTACCCAACAGTAACAACTGCATTATGTATCATGCTTCTTTCTTTTGGTCAATGAATTAATCCCAATTGCATTGTATAGCAGTCACCTCCTATTTTATTTTTAACTTTTTAAACATTGTTTCTATATTTCAAGGCTATTTGGTGAATGTCTGTTTCTAGGATTGTTTCAGGGAGTTGAACATGCAAGACTGGTGGAAATGTCACTGCATTGCCTTTCAGAGGTGAGATGAGAAGCTTCTTCTTCTTTTTTTTTTTTTTCCAAATCATATTTTCTTCCTTGACCAGAAGTGTTCCTATAGGAAAAAATTACTGACCAAGATGGGTGTGAAATTTGACTTGAAGGAAGCAAATAGGTTCGCAACGTGAATCCCACTTTCTCATCGTTATGTCTGATTGCCATGAGAAAGAATAACCTTTGCAGAAGTGAACAGGGTGTTTGTTTGAAGTATGTTCGGCAAGTTATGAATTTCCTAACTAGTCTTCCTTGATCTGGGCAAAATAATTGCCTTTTATCTGCACAAATACATGCATTTGTTCCCCTAATGCATACTGCCATCTTACAGAGTTTCGGCATGGTCCCTCTGTGAGATCCCAAACCGTTTTAGGAATGGGCAGTAAGCTGTCTTTGAGTTCTATCTGCAGGTAGACCTGGATTTATCCCAGATCTACCATTCACACATAGCATGACTTTGGGGTATTACTTAATCAAGTCTTGATTCCTGATCTGTAAAATAGGTTGCTTAAAAATCTTAAGTGAGATCATACACGTAGTATAGAGCAAGTGCACAATGAATGGTAGTTACGATTATAATGATCAGGATGAAATTCTTCAATGATCCCCCTTTCCCTTCTAGAGTTATTTTTTTCCCTCCTACACTTAATTCTGTGTGTCTAAATAACAAAGATGTAAAAAACTTTGAATTCGTCAGCATCAGCTGACAAAGTGATATCACAATTTTAAAGTGACAGAGAAAAATCAAAGACATATAGCCTTTCACTTTGAGCCTTTTCAATTCAGGCAGAATCTGTTTTCTCCCCAAGTTTATTGAGGGATAATTGACAAAATTTGTGTATATTTATGGTGTATAATGTGATATGTGTGTGTATATACACACATCATGAAATGATTACCACAATCAAGCTAATGAACATAGCCATCATGTCATGTGGTTATTTATTTTTTTGTGGAAAAAACATTTAAGATCTACTCTCTTAGCACTTTTCAAGTATACAACACATTATTATTAACTACAGTCACCATAGTGTGCAATAGATTTGGAAAAACTTCTTCCTTCTGTTTAAACTGAAACTTTGTATCCTTTGACTAACATTTTCCCTTTCCACTCCTTCCCAGGCCCTGTAACTACCATTCTACTCCTGCTTCTTTTTTTTTTTTTTTTTTTTTTTTTTCTTTTACAAGGACAGATAGCTTGGATCTACTCCTGCTTCTATGAGTTTAACTTTTTTAGATTCCAAATATAAGTGAGAGTAAGTGATATTTGTCTTTCTGTGCCTGGTTTATTTCACTTAGCATAATGTCACCCAGGTTCCTCTATGTTGTCCCAAATGACAGGATTTCCTCCTTTTTAAAGGCTGAATCATATTTACTTATAGACCATAGACTTAAATATGAAAGCTAAAACTATTCAATTCTAAGAAGAAAACACAGGAGTAAGCCTGTGACCACAGATTAGACCTTCTTTGATACAACACCAAAAGCATAAATGACAAAAGAAAAAAAATAGATAAATTGGATTTCAACAAAATTAACTTTTGTGTTGCAAATGATTTCATTAAGAAAATAAAAAGGCAATCCATTTAACAAGAGTAAATATATAAAAATCATATATTTTATAAGGGATTTTTACCACGAATATATAAAGAACTCTTACATTCCAATAATAAAAACATAAATAACCAATGGAAAAATGAGCAAAAGATCTGAATAGACATTTTTCCAAGGAATATATGAAAATAACCAATAAGCACATGAAAAGATACTGGTGTGCGTTATGGAAGTGCAAATGAAAACCACAATGAGTTAAGCCTTCACACACACTAGTATGACTCTAATATAAGACAAATAATAAGTATTGGTGAGGATGTGGAGAAGTTAGAACCCTCATGCACCATGTGGGACTGTAAGATGGTGCAGCCACTTCAGAATATAGCTTGGCAGTTCCTCAAAATGTTAACCACAGAGTTTCTATGGGCCCCAGAAATCCCACTCATAGGCAATGAATCAAGAGAAATGAAAGATACATCCACACAAAAACTTGTACATAAATAGTCATAACATCACTATTCACAATAGAAAAAAGGTAGAAACAATCAAATCTCCATCAACTGATAAATAGATAAATAAAATATGGTGTAGCCTTACCGATAGACTATTACTTGGCAATAAAAAGGAATGGAGCACTGATACTTGCCCTATAATGTATGAACTTTGAACAAATTGCATTAAGTGAAAAGTCAGCCACAAAAGACCACACATTGTAGGATTCCATTTATATGAAATACCAGAAGAGGCAAATAGAGACAAAAAGTAGGTTAGTTATCTAGGGCTGGGAGGTTAGTTGGAAGTGGGGAGTGACTGCTAATGCATACAGGGTTTCCTGTGAGGGAGACAAAAACTGATCCTAAGGATGGCTACAAAATTCTGTGAATGTACTAAATACCACTGAATTACACATTTTAAATGGGCAGATAGTATGCTGCGTGAATTATATCTCAATAAAGCTTTCAAAAAGAACAACAAAAAAGAAGATAGTGCTGGGTTTTTTCCATCAGTCAAATTACATAAAACTAGTCTACATGAGTCAAGAAATGAAAGGAAGTGAGCCATAGTTCTTAGAGAGCCTTCCCTAACAAGCACACACCTGTCGACTTCTTTCATTGTTAAATAGTTCTTTGGTATTCTTTTCTATAAATACATCATCATAAAGTTAACTATTCTCCTCCTCATGTACACTTAAAATGCTTTGAGCCTTGCATCTGATGTTGCAGTTTATATGTATATACACATATACCATTTTTATATATTTATATTTATTTATGCATATATATGTATATATAAATATACATATGTACATGCATACTTTGATATTCTTTTGCTTTTATCTCTTTGTGAGACTATCCATAGGACAGGTTCTTTACAGCAGAATTATGGTGCCAAATTGTCACCCAAGTTACACCTATTTACATTTCTACCAGCACCATGGGAGGATGCCTATTTCCTCACATCTTTGGTAATACCACTTAGAATTATAATAAGTGAAATCTAATCTATTTCTCTTTTACATGGAATTTCTTTATGAAGGAGTTTAAGTATCATTGCATTTGCTCATTGGCCATTTGTATTTCTTTTTCTGTGAATTTCTTATACTTTTATTGAGTTTTCTAAGGAACAGCAAAGAAATGCATGCTTTGCCTGATGATATATGTGTTGTAAATATGTTTCCTTTTGTTGTCTGTTTTGATTATAATTTGATTTGCTGTATTTTCTAAAACCCATGCTGTCAATCTTACTGATCTTTTCTTTTATGGCTTTGAGTTATGTATCACCTTTTAAAAGGGTTTCCTGACATTAAGATTAGAAATTAATAAACCCAAGCTCCCTTTTGAAACTCTATGGTTTTACTTTTTATATTCGAAACTTTGATACATAGGGAGCTTGTTTTGATATAATAAAAGGGAAAGAGATTCAGCTTTAATTATTTTTTCAAATGGCTAACATTTATCCCAAATGTTCTCAATTATTTGAAATACCACTTTTAGCACAAACATTTCATAAATTCTATAAATTTGAGTCAATTTCTGTAGTCTCTATTCTCTTCTATGAACTCCTATATATTTTATTTTCAACACTAAAATATTTTTTTAGTATAGTTTCAGACTATGTCTTAATAATTGACGATCACTCTCATGACTCTTCTTTTCCAGAAATATTCTGGCTAAGATCACATGTTTGTCTCTATGGATTCATTTTGTTAAGGTCCCAGAAAATATCTTGTTTATATTTGTATTTCAAAAAGAATTGACATTTTTCAATAATGATTTGTCCTAAGTACAAGGTGTGTTTTTCATGTATTCACATGTTCTTAAATGTCCCTTGATAGAATTGGTAAAATTTCCTTCATATAGATCCTGCTTATTTCTATTATAGTTTAGTCTTGGGTATTTTTTGTTGTTATTAGAAATGGAATCTTTCCTTTTCTCTATAATATTTACTCTCTGATGACTAGTTTGTATTTGGGAAAACATATACGCATACTTATGTTTTATGTTAAATTTGTAACCAGCTCTTCTCTGAATTACCTCATTTTTTTTTTTTTTTTTTTGAGACAGAGTCTCACTTTCTTGTCCAGGCTAGAGTGAGTGCCATGGCGTCAGCCTAGCTCACAGCAACCTCAAACTCCTGGGCTCAAGCGATCCTCCTGCCTTAGCCTCCCGAGTAGCTGGGACTACAGGCACGAGCCACCATGCCCGGCTGATTTTTATATTATATATATTAGTTGGCCAATTAATTTCTTTCTATTTTTATAGTAGAGACGAGGTCTCACTCAGGCTGGTTTTGAACTCCTGACCTTGAGCAATCCGCCCGCCTCGGCCTCCCAGAGTGCTAGGATTACAGGCGTGAGCCACTGCGCCCGGCCTTGAATTACCTCATTGATGTTAACTTTTTTATTTCATTTTCTTCTGTAATTGAGTTTTACATGAAATACTTATATATCTGTTAATAATTAAAAATTATTCTCCTTCGTGATATGTCTATTAATTTTTCTATCCAGTTATCTTGGCTAATTTTTCTAAAACCATGTTCAGTAAAAGTGGAAACTGTGGGATATTTCTTGAATAGTTTCTTCCTTCAATAAAAAGTACAACTGTATTCAACCTTAAGCATAGTATTGAAATATATATCTTCAACAGGCTTCCTCAGTGTTGTTCTAGAAAATCCCCAACCATTATCATACAAAGAAATCCCTGCTACTCCTTACCCTAAACCATGTGAGATAGAATTGTCCTGTGTTAAGTAACTTTTCCTTTCATGTCTTTGGATTGATGTAAGGCACATTTCTGAAGCTACCTGTTTGTCTTTTAAACTGTTCTGGAAGATTCCTGTCTTCTCTTTGGGGTAACTCCCTAGAGCCATATAGCTTATCTTTCAGTCATACCATCCCAAATATACACTTTACATTTAGTAAAAATCCACACAGCCTTTTCATGTATGTGATAAAAGGCAAACTAAATTTTGTTTGTTTGGGATTGAACCATACTTGCTATCCTGGGATGAATGCCATTTGATTGTGCTGAGTTACTTCTTTCATGAACTGTTGACTTGAACTTGGTAAGATTATATTTTTAATAGTTAATATTGTGTACTTACATTTATAATCATGAAATGGTGTGCAGATTTCTTTTTTGTATTTGCTGTCATCAGCAGGTTTTCTAGTTCCTGGCCTTGTAAGAAGAATTTAAATTTTTTTTTCTTTTTTCTATGCTCTGAAAAAGCTTACAGAGTACCTAAATTATATCTTCTTTAAATGTTTGAAAGAATACCCTCCACGAATTCATCCAAACCTAGTGTTGATGGTATTTGGAAGGGAGGAGAAGTTTTGAAATATCCTTAATTTCTTCTGGGTTTACTAGCCTGTTTAGATTTTTCTCTCTCCTGAGGTCAATTTCGGTAGCATTTTTCTTTTCATAGAAACCTTCATCCTGGCTTTGAAATGTATTTTAAGAGTAACTGAAATTATTCTTTGATTCTTTATTTCTCTTATATACATTATTTCTCCTTTTTCATTTCTAATCTTTTGAATTTTACTTCTTTCTTTCTGTGAACAGACCAATCAATGATTCATTTATATTTCCCTTTTGTTTTCTGGTTTTTTTCTGGATTTATTTTTATTAGGGTGTAACAACCTATTGGGATAAATACCTCTCCAGCAAGAGCAATCTGGAAGATGGGAGTATTAAAACATGAGAGATACAATCGAATTATCATCAAGCAATTACAACATAAAAAAAGTAGGCACTGATAGAATCTCAGAGCCTATCACTTTATCATGCAATTGCAACATAACAAAAACACCAGTCAAAGATGCAATCACGGGGACAAGTGGAATCAATACTGACTCTAAAATACATTACAGGCCATTTTTAAATAAATATGTACAATCTGTTTTAAATTGATCCTAGCTCAGTGTGGAGCAAACTGCTATAACAATTTTTACATACAAAGCCTAGAATTTTGGGTTTATTTTTTAATTCTATTATTTTCTGTCTTCTTATTTCTTCATTTCAGATTTCCTACTTTTTTGAGGTTTATTAATAGTTCTTTTTCTACTTCTTAAATTGGACGCAATTTGTTTATTTTTCACTATTTGATTTAGGTGGGTAAAGCATTAAAGATTATAAATCTAGTCATTTCTGATGTCATGCTTTTGTGATGATTGTTGTCTACTGATTTTGTAATTTGTTTTCATTTTTTATTCTTTAAAGAGTAGTTTAAAAGGGGGGGGGTTCTATATTTCCAAGTGGTTGTTCTTTTAATAACACAATGATTCTGTATTTTTTAATTTTGATTCCATGAAATAGAAAATTTGTGATAACACCAGATTGGCCATTTACTTTTTCATTTCTTTAGTTTTAAAATGCAGGGGTCATCTGCCCAACCAAGTACTGCACACGGCCTGCCTACTGAGGAGAATAAAAATGAAACTGCCTGTGATGGTTTAATAATGTTCATTTGAATACCGGCCCAGAGAGAATTAATTATATAATCACAGTCATTTCATAAGTTTCTCGGTGCATTATTACTTTCATCAGGATGAATAGTTAAGGACTTCACCAGTCGTGATCATAAATCTATAATCTCCAGCCTTCCTCATGTTTCTCTGGAAGACTAAAGAAGGCCTAGGGAAGAATGGAGCTTGGGTCAACAGTCATTTACTGTACACCAGGGGCGATAAGAGCATCTTTTTCTATTCTCCTCCTTCAAACATCTGCCTCGTGGTTCGGAAGAACACAGTATACGTACATGGCCTGGGCAGGAGAAGCAGGCTTGGGGGGGACCCACATCCCTCAAAAAGAAAAAAATAATGCAGGTCACAGAGACAGGCAGGGCAGAAGAATGTTTGCTGTAAGCTGAGGGCAAGCAGGCAGTGTGACTGCTACTCCTTTCCTTGAAAAAACAGGAGGATTCTCCTGGCAGCAGCCCACTCCGGAGGGAATTTATGGGCACACTGGCACTATACCCTTCCTTTCCCTGTGCGACTTCCGTGAAGCTTTTCCAAAACACTGCTCTGTCCCAGACTTGAGAGACCCATCACCCACGCACCCATCTTTGAGGTCCACTTCAATTCCGTGCATTTGTTGCATTTGTTCAGTCAACAACTGAACTATTGCATTTGTTCAGTCAACAATTGAACAACTGAACTGAATTGTTGCAACAAATGCAACAATTGCATTTGTTCAGTCTCTGCAGCCCTCCCCAGAGAGGCTGCCCCGGGAGCCTTATTGGTGGCGTGGACAACAGAAGTTGCAGATCTCAGCAGAAAAGGAGAATTGGGGGGGGGGGGGCTTGTTCAAAAATTAAGAATCCTCACATGGAGACAACAAATCATTCAACCAGGCACAGGGCCCTTGTAAGGACAGGGCTCAGTGAGATTGTGCAGGCTACACACTCACAGAGCCAGCTCTGCCACAGTGATGTCCCCAATAGCTCCGCTGACAAGCAGTGTCTCGGGAGCGATGCTGGCAGCACGGGCTAAACCATGCCATGATGTCACGCTTCAGAAAGCATCATGGCATGCGGAGGCCAGGCCCTTACATCAGTGTCAATTACAGGACCACCACCATCCTCTCTTGCTGAAAGCGAATGGGCATCTTTTAAAGATATGAGGGTAAAGTGAAGTATCCCAAGAATGGAAAAACAAACACCACATGGACTCACCAGCAAACTGGTATTAACTGAGCAGCACCTAAGTGGACACATAGGTACTACAGTAATAGGGTATTGGGCAGGGGGGAGGGGGGAGGGGGCGGGTATATACATACATAATGAGTGAGATGTGCACCATCTGGGGGATGGTCATGCTGGAGACTCAGACTTGGGAGGGGAGGAGGGGGGAAGGGCATTTATTGAAACCTTAAAATCTGTACCCCCATAATATGCTAAAATAAAAAAAGATTTGTTAATAAAAAAAAAATAAAGCTATCAGGGTAACAGGATGGCAAAATCTGCAGAGCGCTGTGGGCGAGGGCTGGCTGCTTCCTTCCTTCCCCAACACCCTTAGCCTCTAGCACTAGAAACTGCACCCCGTACAGCTCCAGCTGGACCTGGAGGCAGCATTCAGCGTCCCACCCATGCCGCTGCGCTGAAGACATGGAGCTCTGGGGTGTTTGGAAGCCCGTTTGCTGCTATCGCTTTTGCTTTTCTCCTTCGCTGCTGCATCAGTCCAGAATCTCAAGACTAAGCACCTTGAGATGGCCGTGTTGTGAGCTTCTGGTGTGATCACTCCCGCATGCGGCAGACTTCCAGTTACCTGCAAAAAGCCATGGGCCGTGCACCCGGCCTCTTCCACACACACAGGTGCAGAGTGGGCCAGGTGCAGACCTTAAGACGGAAACCAGCTGGAAACAGCAAAGGCATGCGGCACGGTACTGCCTGTGCATGGTACAAGGGACTGTGTTCACAACGCCCAAGCTACCTTCGACTCTGCGGCTGGTGACTGACCCAGGAGCAGGATGCCTTGCAGGGCATTTGCCCGTGAGACCACAGTTGGTTGTGAGCCCTCTGGCTCTGCAGGTCACCTGTCCCCAGAGGACACAGGCAGAGGCCCTCCCTGCACGTGGCCTGATGCTTGTCCAAGCTGCTAGGCACAGCTTAAGTTCTTTCTGAGAGGACATTCTTGAATTGGATATTTTACAAGCAAAATCTTATTAGAATATAAAATCTCTAAAGGAAAGAAAGATTTTCAGGTCCAAGGTCACTATCATCTTAATTTAAGTATTTGGTTGAACCATAGTAAAACAGACACTATTTGACCTATAAAAATAGTTGTTTTTTAGGTTTCCACTTCATAGTTGAATTCTAAGAGAGGGAGAATATGAACTTTATCTTGGGGTTGGTCACAGTGGGTCACATCTATTGGTGGCAAAGGGCAAAAATGGCTTTCCCGTGCTCCCAGCTGCATGGTAGAGGAGAAAACACAGTCACACGAACTATCATTGGGTGTTGAAGCCCTTCTCATCCTGAGACATATAACTGTCGTAAAAAGCACTTCTGTGATTGAGACCAACTCGAGAACGAGCGCAGCCTGAGTCAGCAAAAATAAAATTAATCAAGCACACGCACATTTATAATTTCAGAATGTCCTCTCAGAAAGAACTTAAGCTGTGCCTAGCAGCTTGGACAAGCATCAGGGGACATTTGGACACAGAAACACACACATAGAGGAAGACAATGAGAAGAGACAGAGGGAGAACGTGGCCATCTTCAATCCAAAAAGAGAGTCTTGGAACAAATCTTTGATTCACAGCCCTCAGAAGGAATCAACCCGGCCCAGCCCACACCTGATTTTGCTCTGCAGTCTCCAGAACTGTGAGATAGTAAATTTCTGTTTTAAGCCAGTCACTTAGTGGCACTGTGTTATGGCAACTTTAGCAAACTCATGCACCATCTTAGCTCAGCTGCTGTTAGAAAGAACAGTTTCCCAAGGCTTAATTGGATCTGTTTAATTTGATTTGTCACATTAAAAAAAAAAAAAGCTTAAGGGTTATTTTTAAGATAGTTTATAGGCATAAGAACACACGAGAAAGTGCTCTTTTACCAGCCAACCCATGGTACACATGGAGCCAGAGACAACTACAAATGCAGAGCTTGCAAGTTTTTCTAAAATTATACAGGCTGTTTGTGAAATTCGTGGCTGTCTAATCTTTTTATTAAGACATCTCTTATCAAAGTCTCCATTTCAGCCTACTCCCAACTCATGGAACTTTTGGCCAATAGCTTCAAAAAATGTTTCTTGGTGCCATTTCAAATATTATTTTTGGATAACAGGGTCCTCTAAAGGGCATATGAAATATAATGACCCAACAGATTTACGTCTGGACACAAGGGCAAGAAAGTGACATAAAAAGGAAAAGATAGGATGATTGTTAGGTTACAGCTGGAGGAAAGGCACAAAGATAAATAAACTGGAAATGTATTAACATGGTGTTTTATGAAAATTGCACTTTTATGGGGCCCTACAGAAGTCCTCAGTGACCTATGAAAATTCCTACCTTTAAAGTGTTTTATGGAATCCCACAGAATGGCTTCCAATGCAAATTCTAGAATTCCCTGGAGGCTTTGTAAAAGTCTTACAATTTATAATCCATAAAAATATAATTTGAACATTCTCAATGCAGTAAAATTTCATATCTTAGTGACTTTGATATCTGAAGAATATCGAGATATCTTTTTTAAGTATAATATGTTTTAGATCATGTGCGCTGAGATCATAGTTGCCCAAATCCATAGCTGTTCACTCCTATTTTGCTATTATAAAATAATGCAAGAGTCATTCCGTGAACTGTAAGATGAACTACTAAGCAGTTAGCCATATTCAATTATTTTTTTTTAAACAGATTATTTTGAGTTTATATAGGGCACAAAGCCTTAATGAACCTGTTAGGGTGTGTCAAAGTGGGTTAGTTTCTCAGAACATTCATGGGTCTTTGTTTTGCTTTGTTTAAATTTAAGTGAAATATTGATTCCATTTATTTATTTCCCCCTGGCTATCTAGGACATTATTCAACTATGAAGCAAAGTAAAATCAGAAGCAGCAAAAATATTGTGTTCAGCGATTTCCTTGCCTATGCAAATATTCTTCTATTTCTGGAATGAAATGAGTGATCTCCAACTTCATTAAAAGGAAAACAATCTTTCAGTGAACCAAACCCTAGACCCATAAAAAAGGCTTTATATATACATTTTTCAAATTGCAAGCAAGGCAAGCCCATGAAGCCCATATTTTGGATTATGATAAGACAAGTGAATGAATCCAGGGAGAGACACGGAAGTAGGCATAGATGGGGTTCAGGACGCCACATCTCAAAATATGTCACCTTGGCATTTGCAAAAACAGCAGAAGTGGGAAGTTCTCTTTGACCTTCTCCCCTGAAGCAAGCTAAAAAAGAATTCTATGTCCTGAAGTGGGTCTAAAGACCTTCATTCCAGAAGCATCCTCCCTATACCCAGAAGAAAGGAACACTCTTATCCTTGAAGGCACAGAGATGTCAAGAAGAATCGGAACAAGCCAACCTGCCAAGCTCTCCTCAGTTTACTGCCATCAGATCACATTCTTTTGTATTCTAGTCACGCTTCTGCACAACCACCCGCTCTACCTCAAACTTAGCATAAAAATACTACACAGGTTTCACTATTTTTGAGTCTTCATTTCTGAAGGCTCCCGTGTCATGTAAAATTTATATTAAATAAATCTGTGTGCTTCTCTCTCTTTTATCTGTCTTTTCTTATAGGGGCCTCAGGCATGAACCTAGCGATGGGTGAGAAAAGAAATCTTTTCCTCCCTTAAGCTGTGCTGATTGTTAGGCAAGGACCAAACCTGCAGGTGGCAGATACAGGACATGAGGGCAATTCCTAGGGGTGGAGAAGGGGGCGAAATTAGGGGAAGGGACTGTAGGAAAATACAGCTACCAACTGCAAAGAGCAGGAACTTGAGGTTTTGGAGAACACACACCTGTGGAGCTGCAACTTTGTTATAAGAACACCTGTCAATCATGCACATCAACCATCTGGTACCATCCCACACCTCCCATAAGCCTCCCCTGGGCCACCTGGGAGTCCTCAATGTCTTCCTCCACTGCCACATTCCTCTCTCTGGAACGTACTCTGACTTTGCTCATCTCCCTTCTTTTCTGCAATAAAAGCTGTCTGTGCGGAACTGCTTCCTGTCTGTGGTCACTCCGTCACACTGGCCCTGCTTGTGAATTTTCCAAGCAAGGAGGCAAAGAACCAAGGCTACTGTCCGCCAAGAGGCTGGACCTGAGACTGATCTAGGGCCCCCCTAGGACAAGTGTCCTCAAACTACAGCCCGCCGGCCACATGCGGCCCACCAAGGACATTTATCCGGCCCGCAGGGTGTTTTTGCTGCTGCCTGTCCTGCTTAGCAGCCGACTTCTCCCGGGCCCACAGTGCGCATGTGTGGAATGTGTGCCGCCCTCTCCAACGGCCTTCCAACGGTCTGAGGGACAATGAACTGGCCCCCTGTTTAAAAAGTTTGAGGACCCCTGCCCTAGGATGTGGTGATGCTCAGCATTTCTGATGCTGTAGGTCAGGGTAGATGTAGCAAGACATCTACTGTTTGCCGCACTAGATCTTTCCATAATGGAACCCCTGTTTATTGGGAGGTCCAGCCCTGCAGACAATAATGTCAGGCCTGCGTTCTAGAGACTGGGTGGCACAGAGCACCTTTTCCAGGCCCCAGGAGCAGAGGAGACACCCAGTAGGTCACCAAGAGCCCTTCGCTAGTTTTCTAATAGCACTTAAAAGATGTGTGGTGACAACCTTTGCATAGAAAAGCTAGAAAGTTCCGTGTGCAAGAGTAAAACTGATACCCAATGCAGAGAGGAAAGATGGCAAGAATTATAAAACAGCTTCATCACCAAATCAGCCTTTCCATGGTAGGAGAGCCAACAAATACGCCACTTTGCCTAAACTACAGGGTGTCCTCAAAGTCACCATACATAGGTAACATGGGATATTGTTGATAAATGTACCTTTATGTACAAAATATCCATGACAAAATTTTACAAGATTTTTCCTTTGTATGGAGACTTTTAGGACGCGGTGTAGTTTGAGTTAAGTGTTCTCCTTTGCAACTGAATCAACCAACCCAACAATCTTTCTCTGTCTCTTTCTCTCATTTCCCAGAAAAGTTAGAAAAAGTTAATGAATGAATTGTTCGCAGGGGAAACGTCACAGTTGTTCTCAACAAACTCATGTTAAACTTGTACTTGAAGTCGATGTTTTGCACTGTCTCTTGAATTTGTTCTCTGCTTTTCTTCTACTTCCCATTAACCTGGTGTGGACTTGCAATATTTTTCACCCAGATCATTCTCACCCAACCCATAAGGTGCTGCTAAAATCCTGTGTGCTCGCGCCATTCTGTCCTTGCAAGGACATTGAAGCCACCTTTTCTCTGCACGCTTGCCCCAGTGCTTGGGTATAGCATTCAAAACCATCTTCCAACCCACTTCCAGGCACCTGCTTCTCTGTCTGCTTGTAGCCCCTTATGTTCCAACTTGATCAGACTTCTCTCCATTCCTCAAAAGTGCCATGCGCTTGGCTGCCTTTGGCCAAGTGCTTATCTAGAAATGGGCAGGGCTTTCCCTCTACTTTGCATCTCTTAATTCTGCTTATCCAAAAAAGTCCCCTTTAACTCTATAGAGAGTTCCTCACTCACACTAACGGGAATCAATGGCTCTCTTGTCTGGTATTTCTTTTTCTTCTTCTTTTTTATGTTACGTTAGTTGCAAATTTTCCCTTTCTCTCAGGAAATAAGAAGTTATTTCATTTATTTGTTGAATAACACATATTTAGCATCTCTGATGCACGGGACACTGTGCCAAACACTGGGGACACAGCAATCAGCCACCTCCTGGTGAAGATTTTTTGCTCAATTTTTCTGGGATTGCAAATTAATTGTGCAACGAAGTATGCAAATAAACTGTGACAACAGAGATGCAGGTGAAAAAAGCACAGAGCGTTTCAAAAGAGGACGGCCTGGATGGGGAGAAGCAGGGAGAAAAAGGTGGGGTGGGATTATTGTTTTTAGAAAATAATATTTAAGGTTTAAAATAATACTTAAAGGAAGACCAGGAGTGAGCGAGGTGAAGCCAGTGGGAAAAGTCATGCAGGTAGAAGACCCAGATGCATACACATTATGGAGCAAAGGGGACAGGGCTTGTTGGAGGAAATGACTGAGAACAAGTGACACTGAAGCATGATGCAGCTAGAAGGGGCAGGTTGGGGACACTTGTCAGGGACGTGAGGGTCAGCTCATAGGGGCTCTGGAAGGCATGAGGTCATTCTGCCGAGACCAGCCAGGGACCACTGAGGGGCGGGGCAGGCTCCAGCCTGGAAGGCAGTGGGGGGTCATGTTCTTGTAGGAGAGTCAACGAGATTTGGTAACTGATCAGATGAGGGTTAGAAAGTAGTATCGAGGCCAATGCTGTAGACATCTTTATTTAATGCAGTGAGGCAATTCACCTGCTGCTTTGAACATAACATGCCTTCAATTATGTTTGCCGAATTGAACCACTATAATGTTCCTGCAAGTTACTAAGAACATCCAACAATTCATGTGATACACAATAAGGCTAAAATGAGTGTGTGTGTGTGTGTGTGTGTGTGTGTGTGTGTGTACTGTATATTTTCTAGGTCTTAAATCTGGGATGAGATATAACAACACAAAGCCATCATGAAAGATCGCTTTCTCACATAACCCTGACTTTCCCTTTTTTTATTCAGTGGTAGAAAGAAAGAAGATTAAAAGAGGGCCATTAGAGAGTGTTCATAAGTTGTAGCTCCCTTATGGACTCACCTTAAAAAATGACTCAGAGAGTTATTTGTCTTCTCTGAGCCTGTGCTTTTGCCTAGAGGTTCGGAAAATATTTCCATAGTAACTTCCAACGACTGCTCTTTCTAGTCAATGCAGTTAATCAGCTTTCTGTTCGCCTAGCGAGTGGGTCTCTCTTTCAGTGTTTCCTCCAAATTCATGAGATACCATAGCTAATCTAAAGATTTCAGGCCTCAGATCCCTTCTGTCCATTTAACTGCTCATCTGAAAACAGAATTTCCCTTTGTCTTTTAGATCTCTGTGATAAAATGAACTGGAAAGAAATGAGGATCTACTTATTCTTAGCAACTTGCTCGAACAACGGGAATAGCGGCTAATCAATTTAAGAGGATTATAGTTAAGCTCTCCATTAACAAAAAGCCAAATATATGATAAAATCTCAAAGCAATTATACCGCCCAGCGAACTCTCCATTTGATGAATGGTCCCTCAAATGCCTTAGTCTCCCCATATATCAACACCCACGGCCTCCTCAATGGACCACCCACCAGCAACAGGCTAAAGGAGACTGGGCAGTCACATCCCATATTTAATTTTCTTAAGATTAGAGAAACTGCAGATTTCAGTTCTACAGAAGGATAGAATCCGAGACAAAATAAAGGGTGGGACAGGAACCTTTTCATGGACAAAAGGAAAGGAGTCATTCATAGCAGGGCCAATGCTTAGTGGTCTCCATGCTACACTGCCCCTTCCTGAAGGGAAGATTCCCCCTGGGAAATACCAACTTGGTATAGTAGCGTGGAAAGGCGATAATGACAGATGCTTGCTGAGACCTTACTGTGGGCAAATGCTTTATGTGTTTCGCATAGCATTATTCTCTTGAAGGGGGGATATTGGCTACGGACTTGGACTTTGGAACTAGTCACTTACATTGGAGTTCACACTTTACTGCTTACCAGCTATGTGACCTTTTGTGTTTTGTAAAATAGGGAAAATAATGTCCCCTACCTCAATCAGGTGGTTGTGTGGATTAGGTGGGTTATTATACATACATTAAAAGAACTCGGCACAGTAGCCCCTACATAGAAATCCCAGCCAGTACGCCCTAGATATTTAGATTGGTGCAAAAGTAATTGTGGATTTGGACCGTGATTTTTAAACCATCATAACTAGGCTCAAAGACACCTTTATGAATCAATATAGGAGCCATTACGATCAACACATTGTTGCCAATGAGAAATAAGTTTGTTTCTTCCTGTAGCATAAAAATCTGTGCGTGGAGATTCGATGAACTCTTTGACAGCATTTTCTGCACCCTGCTGGTTGTGGAAGCGTTTCCCCTGCAAAGAGTTGTCGAGATGCTGGAAGAAGCAGTAGTGGGTTGGCGAGAGGTCAGGTGAATGTGGCAGAAGAGGCAAAATTTCATAGCCCAATTCGTTCAATTTTTGAAGCATTGGTTATGCAACATGTAGTCGGGGTTGTTGTGGAGAAGAATTGGGCCCTTTCTGTTGACTAACGCCAGCTGCAGGCGGTGCATCTCATTGATTTGCTGAGCAGACTTCTCAGATGTAATGGTTTCGCTGGGATTCAGAAAGCTGTAGTGGATCAGACCGGCAGCAGACCTCCCAGCAGCGACCATGGCCTTTTTTTTGGTGCAAGTTTGGCTTTGGGAAATGGTTTGCAGCTCCTTCTCAGTCCAACCACTGAGCTGTTAGTTACCGGTTGTTGTACAAAATCCACTTTTCATGGCACGTCCCAATCCGATTGAGAAATGGCTGGTTGTTGTTTCATACAAGAAGAGAAGACTATGCTTCAAAATGACAATTTTTTTTTTTTTGGATTTGTGGTCAGCTCACGAGGCACCCACTTAGTGAGCTTTTTCACCTTTCCAATTTGCTTCAAATGCCAAATGACTGT